TCTCTCAGAAAAGAATTATCCAAGGCTCAGATAATTTCACTGGAGAATTCTACCAAATGTTTGAAAAAGGATCACCACCAATTCTACTTGATTTTTTTTCAGAAAATAGAAAAAGAGGGAGCACTTCCCATATTGATTCTAAAACCGGACAAGTACAGTGTACAAAAAAGAAAACTACAGACCAATATTCACCATTAATATAGATGCAAAACTTTTAATAAAATAGTAACAAATGGAGTTTGGTACTATATAAAGAGGATTACACACCATGACGAAGTGAGGTTCATTCCAGGGATGCAAGACTGGTTTAATATTAAAACAACAGTTAATATACTCTACCATATTAACAGACTAAAAAAGAAAAATAATTATTAGTCAATTAATGCAAAAAACTTTTTTTGGCCAAATTTCAAAACCCATTCATGATTTTAACAACTCTCGGAAGAATGAGAATAGAGATTAACTTCCTGGACTTGGTAAAGAGCAACTACAAAAAAATCTATAGTTAAGATTATACTTAATGGTGAAAGACTGAGTCCTTAATGCTATAAGATTTGAGCTCCCCTTAAAATCAGGAACAAGGAAAGGATTTCTGCCTTTACTATTCATATTCAGTGTAGTGCTGGAATGTCTAGCCAGCACAATTTGACAAGAAAAGAAACTAAAAGACATATGAGCAGGAAAGGAAGAATAAAATTCTTCATATTTGCAAATGATATGATTGTCTACAAGTGATTGTCTATGTAGAATCCTTAAAAATCTATGAAAATCGGGCCGGGCGCGGTGGCTCATGCCTGTAATCCCAGCACTTTGGGAGGCCGAGGTGGGTGGATCACAAGGTCAAGAGATTGAGACCATCCAGGTCAACATGGTGAAACCCCGTCCCTACTAAAAATACAAAAAATTAGCTGGGCATGGTGGCGTGTGCCTGTAATCCCAGCTACTCAGGAGGCTGAGGTAGGAGAATTGCCTGAGCCCAGGAGGCGGAGGTTGTGGTGAGCCGAGATTGCACCATTGCACTCCAGCCTGGGTAACAAGAGCGAAACTCCGTCTCAAAAAAAAAAAAAAAAAAAAAAAAAAAATATATATATATATATATGAAAATCTAGAACTAATAAGTGAATTCAATAAGATTGGAGGACTCAAACAAATAAGGAAACAGAACCCAAATGTATTTCTATATAATAGCAATGAACATGGGAACGTTGAAATTAAAATACTATAATCAGTCAATCAAAGAAAGTGAAATATATAAAATATAACTCTAACAGTATGTTTACATGACTTGTATGCTGAAAACCACATGACACCAATGAAAGATATTGAAGAGGATACAAACAAATAGATAAACTGTGTTTGCTCATAGGATGATGTAAAGATGTAAATCCTCCCCAAATTGATATACAGGTTAACACCATTTCTATCAAAATCCCAGCGAAAGTTTTTATATACGTAGATGAGATTATTCTAAAATAATTATTATAGTGGATCCATTCCTATAATAGAAAGGCAAAGGAACTAGAATAGCTAAAACAATTTGACAAAGAAGAATACAGTGGGAGGAGTTACTCTAGCAGATTTCAAGATTTATTATGTAGCTACAATAATTAAGACTGCTTGATATTTGCAGAGGGATAGATCCAATAGTCAAAGAATCAGAACAGAGAATCCAGAACTAGACCCATACAAACATGCCCAACTGGTTTTTGATGAAGAAGCAAAAGAAATTCAAACGGCGAAGAGATTGCCTCCTTATCAAATGGTGCTGGAGCTACTGAACATCTACATGCAAAAAAATGAACCCCAACTTAAGTCTCAGACTTTATCTAAAAGTTAACTCCAAATGGGCCACAGACTTAAAAATAAAATGTAAAACTGTAAAACTTTCAGGAACACATAGGAGAAAGTCTTCAGGATCAGGGGCTAGGCAGAGTTCTGAGACTTGACACCCAAAATGCAATCCATAAAAGAGAAAGTGATAAATTGTGCTTCGTTAAAGTGAAAAACTCATTCTTCAAAGACCTTGTTAAGAAGATGGAAATAAAAGCTACAGAGATGTGTTTAATTTGTATTAAAGCCACGAAGTGAGGAAATATTTGCAAACCACATATCTGTCCAAACCAGTGCCTAGAATACATAAAGAACTATCAAAACTCAATGTGGAAAGACAATCTATTTAGAACGTGGACAAAAGACAGGAAGACGATACAGAGATGGCAAATAAGCACATGAAAAGATGTTCAACGTCAGCTAATGCAACTAGGGAAATGTGAGCTAAGCACACCAGTCAGCATAAATGAAATAAAAAATAGTGACAGTACCAAATGCTGGTGAGAATGAGGAAAAACTAGATTGCTCTTCCATTACTAGTGGGATTGTAAAATGGGGCAGTTACTCTGGAGAACGGTTTGGAAGTTTCCTTAAAAACGAACAATGCAGCTGCTATATGGCCTAGCAATTGGATGCCTGGGCATTTATCACAGAGAAATGAAAACTTTCATTCACAGAAAAATCTATACATGAACGTTCATATTATTTATATAAGTAAAAAACCAGAAATGGTCAACATGTAACCAATCCCTGAAGGTTACGTACTGCATGATTCCTTATATATAAAATTCGTTAAATGACACATTATAGAAATAATGAGCAGGAGTTCCAAAGGAGATGGTAGGTGGGGCAGGAAGGAGTTGGGTTGGGTATAAAAGGCAGCAGCATGAGGGATCCTTATGGTGATGGAAATGTTCCATATCTTGACAGTGTCAATGTCAGTTTCCTGGTTGGGATCTTACACTACAGTTTTGCAAGAATTACCACCAGGGAAACTGCAAAGAGCACATGGGATCTCTGTATTATTTCTTATACCTGCATGTGAATCCATAGTTATATCCAAGTAATAAGTTTAATTAAAAAAGAAAAAAAGAAAGAAACACTTATAGGACAGTCAGTGAACACTGGCTATAGTTTTTAGTGTGATGATGGCATTGAGGTGTTTCGAAAGATTAGTCCGTATTCTTAAAAGATCCATACCAAAATATTTCAGATGAAATTCTATGTCTGGTATTTACTTCAGAATAATCCAGAGCGAGGGAGAAGCAGGCAGGGTCCACCAGAAGAGTGAATGGTTGTGAGTAGGGCATTGTGGAGCTGGCTGGTGGGATGTGGTGTCTTTACATTAGATACTACACATGGTTCTAGCGCCTGGGGAAGGAGGAAGCAGGGCAATGCAGTGGGGAGGCCATTGGCTTTAGAGAGCGTCAGGCCTGCCGTGAATCTTGGTTCTGCTGCTTATTAGCTTTGTGACCTTGCTCAAGCTACTCGGCCTTTGTTTTTTTTTTTTGAGACAGAGTCTCGCTCTGTCACCCAGGTTAGAGTCCAGTGGCACAATCTCAGCTCACTGCAACCTCTGTCTTTCAGGTTCGAGCAATTCTCCTGCCTCAGCCTTCCGAGTAGCTGGGATTACAGGCACCTGCCACCACATCCAGCTAATTTTTGTATTCTTAGTAGAGATGGGGCTTCACTATGTTGGCCAGGCTGGTCTTGAACTCCTGGCCTCAAATGATCTGTCCACCTGGACCTTTCAAAGTGCTGGTATTACGGGCATGAGCAACTGCACCTGGCCTCTGTTTAAACTTTCTGAACCTCAGTGTCCTTATCTGTAAAATGGGGCCAATATCTCAATTACCCAAATAGGGTAATTGTACAGATGAATGAGATTGCTGAGAAAGAATGTAGGGTGAGTAATAAAAGGTTCTTGGGGTAAGTTTATCTGAGGATGAAAAGAGGAACAGAAGCCAGTGCAGGAGATAGATGGGCAGGTGGAGGTTGGGGAGGAGAATCATGCTTAGGTTGGGCAGAATATGGAAATCCAGTAAATTATTATTTTTATTTAATCTTTAATTTTTTTTTTGAGATAAGATCTCGTTCTATCATCCAGGCTGGAGTGCAGTGGTGTGATCATAGATCACTGTAGCCTCAACCTCCTGGTCTCAAGTGATCCTCGCTGGGATTACAAGGTTTTTGTGTGTGTGTGTGTGTGTTTTTTTTTTTTTTTAGACATTGAGACTTGCTCAATGTACAAAAGAGTCCAGGCTGGTCTCAAACTCCTGGCCCTAAATGATCCTCCTGCCTTGGCCTCATGGTGTTGGGATTACAGGTGCAAACTGCCCTACCTAGTCAGTAAAAGATTTGTAAAATAATTGTTGGAAGAAGACACCTGAGAAGAAGCCATCAGATGTGGCATTTAGAAAATCATTGGTGCTGATAATGGCTTCGGTTCCGTGGTGAAGGTGGTCTCAGATTCAGTATCAAGAAACAGGTGGGGAAAAAGAATGTAAGTGTCTGCCATTCTGAGCAGGGTGTGGAGAGACCAGGCTGGAGCTCGAGAGGGAAGGAACATTTAGAGAGATTAAAGATCAGAAAGAAACTAAAGAGGAAGAGGTTGAAAGTGAAAGAGAGAGGAGGGTTGTTTCTGCATCTTGTCCATTGCGAGTCATGCTGCAATGAACGCAGGTGTGCTAATATTTCTTTGAGATCCTGGTTTTAATCCTTTTGGCCATATATTCAACAGTGCAATTGCTGGATCACTTGGCCATTTTAATTTTAATATTTTAAGGAGTCTCCATCCTGCTTTCTATAATGCTCCACACTTCTATGTTCCTACCAGCAGTGCGTGAGAGCTCTCAAGCGCTGGTCTTGCTTGCACATGGGATGGAGGCTTGAGACCTCCCTAACCTCCTCTCTATCCAGGATGAACTGACCTGGAGGACATTATCCTAGTGTCATATAAGCAGCCCGCTCCATGCTGAGTGCCCCGTAGGCTGCTAAACGTAGCCTCTGCTCATTTGCAGTGAGGATGCAAGAATACCTGTTGAAGTCCTGGGCCCCCCACCCCCGGTAACTGGTGGCCTTCCCAGCAAAAGCACCCAACTCACTCATCATACCATACCACGAGGGATGGCAGCAGGTGCCCAGATGCAACAGAAACCATAAGACACGTGAAGGCTTAAACAATGGGGCCACGCTTTATTGAGGCAGTCACATTCATGCTTCAGTTGTTCGCAATGATTGGCAAATAGGTGAGTTCAAAAGCCTTCCACTTCCATACTGTTCCATCCATATTCAGAAAGCAGTAAAAATATATTGTACAATGAACACTTTCCACCTTAAGCTTCTCATGATAGTTCACAAGTTTGCCAACGGACAATGCAAAACAATATTTATAAGATAAACCCTTTGTAAGTTCCAAATTTAGATACTTGTGGTATAATTCTAAAACTGACATGGCATGTTTTTCCAGGAGGACCCGTCATTATAAAAATACTTTATATAAATTCAAAGTCAGAACTAAAAACATCCAAGCCTATAAAAATATCTTTTCCTAATAAAAGTATCAACTTCTAGATAAATGTCCTTTATCAACAACAGTTACATAAATTTTCAGAAAGTACCCACTTTGTCAGAGGTCCACTTAAAGGAAGCTGTTGAAGTGACAGCAACGCTCCTCTCTCAAGCAGTCCCTTGTTTTCAGAGATCAACCACATACTTGATTACTTTGCATATGAATGGCACAAGTATCCTACAAAAAGTAACTCAGGTGTGTCTATTTACTATGAAAGTCATTTATAAAGACAAACTCTTCAGGCTAGAGAAGGAACTTTCAGGTCAGCATTGCCTTCTGGAGAAGACAAGTCTCCTTGTGACCCAGCTACGTTTTACCTTGAAATGTTTAACTTGGGAAACCTGTGATTGCATTTTGACCACTATCGGAAATCAGCTCGTTCATTTCATTCTGCTTATTCTCCTTCAGGGTGTGGTTGGGGTGATTGCTTTGGGACTGTGCTCTCTTTGATCTCCTAAAACACACTTTGAGCAGCAGGTAGCACAACTCCGCCACATTAAGCAGCATGCAAATCACAGATGCAGAAATCATAAAAATGGTAAACACGGTCTTCTCCGTTGGCCTAGAAATAAAGCAGTCGACCAGGTTGGGGCAGGGGTCAATCCCACATTTCAATACCCAGGGCAGGTGGTACCCGCTGTAAAGGAAGTAAAACACATACATAAAGGCCGCTTCGAAGATGATTCGGAAAAAGATGCTGCTGGTGTACGTCCACCACAGCGACCCCTCTATCCGAACCTTCTGCTTTTTAATGTCCTCTAGGTCTTTGAATTCATTCCTCTTCTCTCCTCGCCTGAACTTGCGGGCGGTTTCTTGCCTGTAGTAGGCCACATGCATGGCCACCAGCAGTGCCGGGGTGGAGACGAAGATCAGCTGGAGGGCCCACAGCCGGATGTGGGACACTGGGAAAAAGTGGTCGTAGCACACATTTTTGCAACCCGGTTGCAGTGTGTTGCAGACGAAGTCCTCCTGCTCGTCCCCCCACACTTCGTGGGCAGCCACGACGAGGATCATGACTCGGAAGATAAAGATGACGGTGATCCATACCTTCCCGATGCTGGTGGAGTGTTTGTTGACACCCCCGATGACAGCGTGCAGGGTCCCCCAATCCATTGTGCCGGTTTAACCCTAAGCAGACAAACGTGGGCAAAGGTTTATCAGTGGAAGAGGACTTGGGAAAGCAGCATAGTGATATTACAGACTGAAGTAACTCTCTATTAAAGTAGGCTGTGATATTTTACAACTTCAACTCCCTGCTATGCTAGTCCGAGGTTTTCTGAAAAGAAATGCCCACCCCAAACATATTCTTTTTTTTTTTTTTTTTTGAGACAGAGTCTCGATCTGTTGCCAGGCACCAGGCTGGAGTGCAGTGGCACGATCTCGGCTCACTGCAACCTCTGCCTCCCAGGTTCAAGTAATTCTCCTGCCTCAGCCTCCCCAGTAGCTGGGACTACAGGCACACGCCACCATGCCCAGCTAATTTTTGTATTTTTAGTAGAGACGAGGTTTCACCATGATGGCCAGGATGGTCTCGATCTCTTGACCTCGTGATCCACCCGCCTCTGCCTCCCAGTATGCTGGGATTACAGGCATGAGCCACTGCGCCCAGCCCCCAAACATATTCTGTTTTTGGTCGAAATAACTTTTTGGAGGAGGAATTAAGGTCATCTTGATTCAAATGAATTCAGATCATCTATTAGATTGCTATTTGCATTAATCCAGGAATACAGGGAAACAAATTTGTTTCCAAGCTTCCTTTTAATCACTGTCTGATCTATTCCACCAAATTGGCTTTATCCAAGGCCTCACCGAGCTTCCACAGTAGATTTTATTCATGAAATCGCTTATTCAGGGGGAAAAAAAAAACATTCATTGGAACAACATTATCTGGTTTACCCAACAGACTAAGAAGGGGAAAAACAAACAAAATACTTATTATTTTACTTTATACAATATATTTATACCTAATTCTAGCTTGAATAACATCATCTGCCATAATCATGTGTTCTTAGGACATCTAATATTGCCAGCTACTGAGAAAGCCTCTTCCAAAAGAGAATCACAAGGTTTTATAAAAAGTGCTCCATTGTTCTCCAATGCATCTCCGGTATGAGCAGGGCCATGTTGGCTTTGCCTCCCCAGCGGGTCTTGTTTGCGCTGGGGGTGGCGGAGGAGGCGATCCGCTGCCCCTGCCACCCAGGGCCCCCCTCCCTGTTAATGCACTGATTCTACCGCCCAAGAGAAAAAAGACTTCTTTACAGCTACGGACACTTTTGCTATAACCCAAACAGCTGGCTTAGCCTGCACTGCCACAGAAGACTACAGAGTTGGTCAGCATTCTCCTTTCAAAAATAAAAGGAGGTATCATTGACCCTTGGAAAATTTTCAGAAAGTAAAAGACCTCTCCCGAGAGCAATGCACTCAGACATTTTTTTCAATAGGCTATCAGAGCATGAGGGAGTCACCACAATCCTTCTGTCCACCAGTCTTAAGCTTTCTTGTCCCTGAATGGGTGAGAGGCACCTGTCAGCCTCACGGACCTCACGCTCTGGCTCATATGCCTGCCCCACTGCAGTACGCTCACTGTTGTTGGAAGCAGTTGGATGAATGGAGGCAGCCTCTCCCCACCCAGGAGTGCCTTGGCCTCGGAGTGGGGTGTTACTCTGTGCCCCAAGGCAGCATCTTTTGTAGACTTAGAAAGTCAGCAGACCTGTCAGAAAAGTCTGACTCCCAGTTCAGTTGGCTTTCTGAGAAATTGATTTTTTGTCCTTGGTTTGGATATTAATATTAAGCAATAATCCTCCATTCCCCACTCCCCAGCCCTTAGCAACCACCATTCTACTTTCTGTGTCTATGATTTCGACTGCTCTACAGACCTCATATAAGCAGAAATACACAGCACTTGGCTTTTTTGGACTGGCTTCTTTCACTCAGCATACCGTCCTCGAGGTTCGTCCATGTTGTAGCATGTGACAGGATCTCCTTATTTCGGAGGCTGAATACTGTTCCACTGTACGAATGCTCCCCATTTTGTTTACCCATTTACCCGTCAATGGACACAGGCTTGCTTCCACCTTGCGGCTGTTGTAACACTACTGTGAGTGAGGGTGTACTCATATTTTTTCAAGACCTTGTTTGAAGTCTTTTGGATATCCAGAAGCAGGATTGCTGGATCTCATGGTTGTTCTATTTTTAATTAAGTATTTCCACAGGAGAGCAGAATGTTACTATTCAGAATGATAAGAGGGGCCCACTTCCTGGAGGAGGGCAAATATCCTGATTTTTAAAATAAGAGAAAATGTATATGTGTGAACTGGGGGATTTTTTGTTGAGCCCCAGCACATTCTAAAACACCCTCACTAAACTCCTTGTTAAGAGTTCAGTGATAGCAACCGTGGTGATGGCAAGGGCACCGAGTCTTGGAGTCACAGTGGTCTTTGCTGAGGCCTCTCCTACCGTCAGGAGGTTGTATTTCCATGGTTCCTTTAATAGCTGCAGCCTAGCGTTTTACTTCAGGAATATCAGTGCTCCTTAGGGGGAATGTCCTTATCAGCGGGATGTCAGCGCCCCAGCACAAGGTCGTGAGAAAGAGACTCAGGCTCAGGGTGCGTGGAGGGACCAGCGCAGGCTCCCCGGGCAGCCCACATCGGTAGGGTGGGCTCCTTTCATGTTTTAGGAAAGACGTGGCCCGCGAGGGCGCATCAACAGGTGTGAGGACAGATGGAGGGGCTGGAGGTTACCCCACAGCGAAGGGAACAGAGCGAACGCTAGCTGGAGGAAGACGCTGAGGCACAGGGCGGCGACACTGGAATGTGAGGCAGAGGACTCGGTCCCCTTGCGGATCTGGGACTAAGAACTCAATCCGGCTCTCAGCGCTCGGCACTCTTTTAAAAACAAAAAGAAAAATGAAATGGGCTACCCTGCAAGCTGTGTTTTCTCATCCCTTGAAGCATTTCATCAGCGGCGGTGGGAGTGTCTGCTGGGGCAACGCACGGGGGCCTCCCCTAGGAGCCGTGGTCCCAGAGTTCCATAATTAAAGTGTGTTTCCTAAGGGCTCCCTTTCATATACCACACACTCTTCACAGCCTAGAGAGATGGGCAGTGTCCACAGTAAATGCAGTTCCATTTAAAAAGCTCTTGTTAAATGGTATGATTTAAAAAATTAATTTTATTCTCAGATGAAAGGCATAACACATTTTCCTAATTGTTGATGTTCTATCTCAGAAGCATTTCAAAATGTGACCAATGAGGAGAAAGAAATAAATACATCTCGATGTTTAAACATATTTTATAGCAGCTGTTCGCCTATGGAGTCAGTTCTGTTGGTTTATACAGTGAAGATGTTTTCTTATTAACCAAGAAACACCTCCCATTGAAGTTTGGTCAACAAAATGCTGAATCAGCAAGTGTTTGATTTATCCAATAAATGGTTCAATTTCTCCAACACTTCAAAGTCCATGGAATTGAACACCCCCCACCCTCCCCACCACCCCCTCCACCCCCCGCCGCCGCCCACTGGTGAGACGGCTGTGTTCTCTTGGTTCTGGTATGTGGCCTGCCTGAACAATAGTACCCCTTGGTCCCCTGTGGTCTGACCTTCTAGGAAGCAGATGGATCAGGGAGCCAGAGGGCAACACGGCCTGGATGATTCTGAGAGGCCGAAGTCACAGAAAAAGTCAAGAGGTCACGATCTCCCCCCAGGAACACTGGTCCCCGCTTTCTAGAAGCAGGGTCCCTGACCTCTGCAGCTTTGGGCTTCTCCCAATTATAATGGCAGTAGCTTTTTAAATTGCTTTGGATTTTTCTGGGTACCAAGCCACATGCTCTGAGGCTGTTCTATCAACGTAGCAAAACTGAATAGAAAATAATCTATTTCACAATGCACACTTCACAATGCTGGTACTAAAAATCGGCAATCTGCCTATACCTTTACAGGAGGAAAAGTAAAGGAGATGCCAAACTTGCTAAGAAAAATTAGGTTAAACCCAATACAAGTGTGCCTAGTCCCCCTGTCACTCAGGACAGTCTCCTGGTTCAGAGCGTCCTCCTGCAAGAGCCACAAAGGCCCTGTTATTCTTAACAGCAGAAGTGATCCAAGGGAGAACTGTGTCCTCTCTCTGAAACTGCCCGGCCTGAGTGGGCTGCCCCAGGGTGCTCAGCGACCCGGAGCTGGTGTTTCCCAACCGAGACAGTGAGGCAGGGGCTCTTTCGATTCTTTTCCAGTTTGTGTTGCTCCTGGGGGGCTCACCAACCAGCCCTGGGGATCTGACCTATGTATCATTCTCTGCAGGCCAAGAACCAAGGGGCTCCCCTGGCAAGTGTTAAGAGGCAGGCCAGGTTGATGGGCCGGCTGTGGGTTACCAAGCCCCAATATTTCCAGCACATTCCTACCATCACTGGCCAGGCCTGGCTGTCCCAGGAGAAGCTCCCACTCAAGGAGCTGCAGGAGGATGGTGGTAACCACAGGAGACTCAGCAAGTTTTAGGGAGGACTCAGCTCCACTGGCTGCTCCTGCCCTGACTTTTGTGGGTGGACAGACTGCAGAGGGGCCCAGAGGAAGGATGGTTGGTGCCTGGGCGGCAGGAGATGGGTGGGGGGGGGGGGCGTTCGGCAAAGAAAGCTCCAGTCCCCAGACTCTCCCTTGTAAAAACACGTAACCACAGGGTATGATCTTTCACAAACCCTCTTGGTTGGAGAAGATTTGAAGGTATTTCAATTTGCAAAATTGTCACCAATTTCCAATTACTTTCCAAAATCACTGCATCCACGGGAATGCTTTGCAACTGCAGTAAACAAAGTACCTCTTTCCTCTCCTGCTTCTGGATGGCTGAAGACAATGGGAGGAGCTTTTTCAATACAAAGTAAAATATTAACTCTTTATTTTGAAACCAGAGAGGTTTATTTTAACTGATGCCTCTCTGGCTCTGTTTTAAGGAAAGAATAGATATGCCTAGCTTCTGCAGTCTTTAACGTCTAAGAATGTGATTACATTCAAACTTAAAAGGGTAAACTGTGTTCGATTTTGTGGTAAATCTAATCATAGTGAACAGCTCGATGCTGTATTCTTGATACTGAAGTTCCAGTCTGAAATATCTAGCTCTAAAAATAAGTAAACCATTGATTTTACTTTTGAAGATCCACACAGCATTCTGAAGATAGATAGTTCTTTCCTTTTACCATTCAAATAATTTAGATCTATTGGCCTCTGACCATAATAACAAAGTTTCTTGATTGTTTAAAAACTTCGTATTTAAGAAGTTAATCACAGCTAGCTTGTTTAGCAATACCATTATAATTTTACTAATGACTGAAGCAAAACTAAAACCCCTAAAAGTTAGAGGGTTACTATTCAGCATATTTTTCTAGATAGTTCTGTTCTCCTTTCAATGTCATTTAGCAAAAAAAAAAAAAATTTTTTTTTTGAGACAAAGTGTTGCTCTGTCGCTCAGAGTGGAGTGCAATGGTGCAATCTCAGCTCACTGCAACCTCTGCCTCCTGGGTTCAAGTGATTCTTGTGCTTCAGCCTCCTGAATAGCGGGGATTACAGGCACATGCCACCACACCTGGTTAATTTTTGTATTTTATTTTTTAAATAGAGACGTGGTTTTGCCATGTTGGTCAGGCTGGTCTCAAACTCCTGACCTCAGCTTATCTGCCCACCTCGGCCTCCCAAAGTGTTGGGACTATAGGTGTGAACAACTGTGCCCAGACATCTAGCAAATAGTTGATAGATCTGAGAACAGGAACATGTGCCTCACAATTTCGAAGTTAGCTTTGGATAGTCGGGGAGTCTGCACAGATAAAAGGAAAACAACGTAAAAGGAAAACAAGCAAACCTGAGTCTTTTTTCCAAGGACTCCCAGCGTTTCGGACTTGAAGAATGAGAGCAAGGTCCCTCTGTAGGGCTTCAGACCTCCTTCTCCTACTCCACCTGAGTGCCTGCAAGCCAGTGGTGCACAGCGAAGAGATGAATGACAATCTTTGGTCTGTTTCTGGAGGGCAGTGAGGATGTCACCTGTTGAGGGAAAAATAGTACCTGCTGCCATATTCCTTTAACTCCCCCATTCCCCACCACAATGTGTACTCTGAAAAAATTCTGTGGGTAGTTTTTCTTCATTCCCCAAACTGTTATGAGGTAAGTTCAGAAATGGCCAGCTTCCTGATGCTCTATACTTTAAACACATAAAATAATCGAAGGTGCTCTTTGGTACAGAGCACCTTTGTATATCAAAATAACAATCACACCCAATCTGAAGCCTCAAGCCCACTCCCTGAGCAATACAAACAGGGACAGGGGTGGTTTTCAGAACCCGGCTACATCCTGATTCCCAAATCAGCATTTGAAAAAAAAATCTCAGGCTTTTTTTTTAATCAGGAAGAATGGATGTCTTTTATCTTTAGAAATCTCAGGTCATCCAAGCTTCAACCTGATAGTTAATTTTTAAATTTAGTGGGAAAAACTTCAGCAGCAGTCCAGACAAATTAACACTAGTGATAACAGTGGGTGTGGGATCCATATACTTCAAAATTAACTTAATAAAAGTGAAACGTTGTTTCTGTCTATGGAGTCTATAAAAATGGACAACTCATGGAATTATGTATGTTTCTTACTAAATTTAAGAATGTAAAGGGTTAAAAATTAATTTCCATTAAGTTAAACTTTCCTTCTCTGGGTCTTGTTAGCAATATGTGTTTGTTCATTCAAACAAACCTATGTCCTTTCCAAACATTTAAGTTCAACTATATTTAAATGACCTTGGGAATAAAAACGGAATGGAATGAAAACCGGGGTTCCAGTTCTACACTCATGCCCCAAGCAACTAAAACAGGAATCATAAGCGATGGCAGGTAGCCATTAGAAGGCTATGCCCTCACAGACCAAGAAGCTTGGGTCAGCTGTCACGTCCCCACAATTTTATCCCATTTAACATTTAAACTAACGTATGCAAACTGCTCACAGTACCTGGTATATTCAAACTGAATTAGAGATGCATGAAGAGGGCGTGCAAGTTAGAATTTTCCTTTCCTGACACGGAACGTGTTTAGCCAGATCTTCCGTACTTCTTTTCCTTCCTAACACTCGTAATTCAGAAAAGAAGGCGTAAGGAAAAGAGCATAAAGTCATCATTACCTGTATCAGAATTTGTTTAAAAACAACCAGTGGGGCAGGTGAACTGATCAGCGTCTTCCAGACCTTATCCACTGCAGGCGCCCTCCACACCCCTAGTTCTGTGACAGGCTAGAGCCTGGTGTTCTCTCTTCAAAACCCCCCTCCTCTCCTTGGCAGGCTTCAAACAAGAGCCCCAGATACGCTGCTGGATCCAAACAACAGACAAAGCTCTCCACAGGAGCAGTTCTGAGCAGCACCCTGCAATTCTAAGGAGACTGCATGGGGGCAGGACATTTTCTTCTAGAACACTGGTTAGATTCTGCTAGAACTGGGGCAAGAAAATAGTTGTATGGCATAAAGTCTACTTGAGGGAAGGAAAAGAACAACCCGGCACGGTTAAATTCAATCAGACGCTAAATAGAGCGCTGATTGTCGCCCACCCAGGGGACACTGAGATCGCTGGGCCTGTGTCCCCGCTGGCTGCAGGCCCCTAACCCCTCCGGGAATGCAGAGCTGCGCGCAGGCCACGCTCACCCTGACTGGTCCTGCTTCCCAGGAAGGGAGACCAGCCCCTGCAAAACACAGGAAGCCTGTGACACCAGGGACGGGTATTCATCGACAGTAAGTGCCTTCTGGTGCCTGCCCGTTTTAACTAAGATGTGTCACCAATTACTTTTAATTACTGTCGTCCACCCTATTGTCATCAGCATTTCACAAGTTTCTCGGAAGCCCAGCACGCAGCCGATACCCAGCAGTTCTCCCGGGACTTACGCACCCGCCCAAGTCGAGGGTTTGGCTGAACTGAAACCCCTATCCTAGACCTGGCTTTCTTCTCCCTAAATCCAAGGGGACACGCCGGTGACCCATAAGAGCTTAGAAAATGCAACACGCAGCAAATGAAACGGGGAAAGGGCACCGGCCCCCACTCCCGCAGCTTAGACACGCGATATGAAGCCTTCATAAAACCTGTTGTGCAAGTCCAAAGACCACGCTGGGGTAAAAGTCAAACCAGTCCATCCTCGTTCCTCCGCGTGAAGAGGGGCCAGCGCGGGCGGTGCCCACCGCCATCCGGCCGGGGCCCGGGCGCGCGGACGCGAGGGTGCGGATGCAGGCAGATGGGGGCCCCAGGCTCCCCACGTGCAGCCAGACACCCACCCTGGCCGCGCTCCGCCTGCTCTGCTCCCGTGCGGGACAGGAGGGACAGGAGCGAGGTGGGGACCAACAGCCGACCTCACCTGCTCTAGCTTCTCCGAAGAGATTCCTCTGCCGCGGTGCCGAGGTGGCACCTCCCGCTTGCTCTCCCGCCGGCCCGCGCCCGCTTACCTGCTCTGTGGCCGGTGGCTCTAGCGCGGGGCTCTGCGCGGGGCGGCACCCTTCGCTCCGGCCGGGCAGGCGGGTCCGGCTCGGGCGCCGCCGGCTGTCTAGCTCTCGTCGGACTTCGGGTGAAGGCCCCGGCTCCCACCTGCTGCGCCTTTTAACCGCGCCCCACCCCGCCTCTGCCCTGACGCTGCTCGGGAGGGCTGCGGGAGGCAAGTGCGGTCACCAGACGAGCCTCCGCCCCGGGGCAAGCTAGGCGCTGGGCGCGGACCGCGGGGGCCATCCCCCCGGGGGCCAGGGATCGCAGGGCAGGTACCCTTTCCCCGTGGCAGGAGGGGCAGGGGAGGGGACCCCTGAGAGGTGCGCTGGGCGCGGGGTCCTCCTTCCTGCGCTTGGAGGGAACGGGGTACCAAGGATGCAGGGGGCAGTGCTCTCCCTCGGGGGCGCAGAGGGCGGGCCTAGTCCCCTCTGGGAGGGTGCAGGTTTGGGGCGCCTGCCCAGGCCCTCGAGGAAGCCCTTCCTCCCTAGCGCACCCGTGGCGAGCAGTGTGAGGGGCAGACTTTGTTCTGGCCAGGACTCATCCTCAGTTTTCTGGGCACTCCAGCCCTCTCCTCGCCCGCGGGGTGCACAGCCCTCTCCTGGAGCGCCTAGAGTGTCTTTATTAATTAATGACCACTTAGAGGAGGTACAGGGGTTGGTTTTTATTAATTACCTCCATCTTTTGAAGCCTCCTCCGGGGAAGCGAAGCGGGCCTTCCTCAGAACAGCGCACCAGGAGAGACCCCATTGCCTCCCAGATTATCAGTCAGGACTAGAAAGCTCAGGGCCAGTACAGAGAGTGGTGCAAGGGCAGGTGGGGTGGAAACGTTGGAAGCTGTTTAAAGACCTGGCTTTACAGGTTCAAACCTGTACTGCATTGGACAAAAGATGTGTGACTTGCTTATTCTACAAAATTGGTTGGTAATTAAATGTTGCCACTTAAATCATATGTCACTTGTTGGGTCATATGGTCCCAGAAAACAATGAATAGTGGTTCTTAAAATGTCTCGTAAAGGTCTGGAAATTAAGCCAAGATCTTATAAACATCCACCTCCCAAAGTATTTTGTTTGAGAAGAACAAAGTTCTTAGAGAATTTGCCCCACTCAAGTTTTAAAACTATGGGGAGGTCCCTGGGCCTTGAACCTGGAGGGTGGAGAAACACAGAAATCTGTAGGCTTTTTTTTTTTTTTTTTTTTTGAGACAGAGTCTCCCTCTGTTGCCCAGCCCACATGCAGTGCGGTGGCGCCATCTCAGCTCACTAAAACCTCTGCCTCCTGGGTGCAAGCGATTCTCCTGTCTCAGCCTCCTGAGTAGCACCACCATGCCCAGCTACGTTTTGTATTTTTATTAGAACTGGGTTTCACCATGTTGGCCAGACTGGTCTGGAATGCCTGACCTCAGGTGATCCACCCAGCTCGGCCTCCCAAAGTGCTGGGATTACAGGCGTGAGCCACCACGCCCAGCATCTCTAGGCTTTTTTGTTAGACATCCTCAGATTGCCCAGATGTGCCCTGTGCAGTGAATCTTGGGTGCTCTCTCCTGCCCCACACAATCTAACCACAGTGGACTTCCCACTCTCCTCTCCATTCCTCTTCCAAACAGTTGCTCCAGGCAGGCTCAGCTGTTTGCATAGTAAAATCCTTTTTCTAAGCAGATTGTAAACTTCTTTGAGGATTATAAACAGTTTAAGTCTCCTTCTCCTTCTTCTTCATGGCATTTCTACAATACTAAGTAAGTACTTTGCTCAGACTACATGCTGCTCCATGAGTATTTGAATATTGCTTGGCAAAGCTGAACTAGCATAGCAGATAGTCCTGGAAATAGCTTTTGCTTTTTCTAGAGAGTACCCTGTTCTCAGTCCTGCAGCTGCTTCTATGCAGTACTGTGTCTAAACCCTGTTCTCAGTCCCACAGCTGTTTCATGCAGTACTGTGTCAGAGCCCTGTTCTCAGTCCCACAGCTGGTTCCATGCAGTACCGTGTCAGAGCCCTGTTCTCAGTCCCACAGCTGGTTCCATGCAGTACTGTGTCTGAGTCCTCTTCTCAGTCCCGCAGCTGGTTGCATGCAGTACTGTGTCTAAGCCCTGTTCTCAGATCTGCAGCTGGTTCCATACAATACCGTGTCAGAGCCCTGTTCTCAGTCCCACAGCTGGTTCCACGCAGTACTGTGTCTGAGCCCTGTTCTCAGTCCCGCAGCTGTTCCATGCAGTACTGTGTCTGAGCCCTGTTCTCAGACCTGCAGCTGGTTCCATGCAATACTGTGTCTGAGTCCTTTTCTCAGTTCTGCAGCTGGTTGCATGCAGTACTGTGTCTGAGCCCTGTTCTCAGACCTGCAGCTGGTTCCATGCAATACTGTGTCTGAGTCCTTTTCTCAGTTCTGCAGCTGGTTGCATGCAGTACTGTGTCTGAGCCCTGTCCTCAGACCTGCAGCTGGTTCCATGCAATACTGTGTCTGAGTCCTTTTCTCAGTTCTGCAGCTGGTTGCATGCAGTACTGTGTCTAAGCCCTGTTCTCAGACCTGCAGCTGGTTCCATGCAATACTGTGTCTGAGTCCTTTTCTCAGTTCTGCAGCTGTTCCATGCAGTACTGTGTCTGAGCCCTGTTCTCAGTCCCGCAGCTGGTTCCTTGCAGTACTGTGTCTGAGTCCTTTTCTCAGTTCTGCAGCTGGTTGCATGCAGTACTGTGTCTAAGCCCTGTTCTCAGACCTGCAGCTGGTTCCATGCAATATTGTGTCTGAGTCCTTTTCTCAGTTCTGCAGCTGTTCCATGCAGTACTGTGTCTGAGCCCTGTTCTCAGACCTGCAGCTGGTTCCATGCAATACTGTGTCTGAGTCCTTTTCTCAGTTCTGCAGCTGTTCCATGCAGTACTGTGTCTGAGCCCTGTTCTCAGTCCCGCAGCTGGTTCCTTGCAGTACTGTGTCTGAGCCCTGTTCTCAGACCTGCAGCTGGTTCCATGCAATACTGTGTCTGAGTCCTTTTCTCAGTTCTGCAGCTGTTCCATGCAGTACTGTGTCTGAGCCCTGTTCTCAGTCCCGCAGCTGGTTCCTTGCAGTACTGTGTCTGAGTCCTTTTCTCAGTTCTGCAGCTGGTTGCATGCAGTACTGTGTCTAAGCCCTGTTCTCAGACCTGCAGCTGGTTCCATGCAATATTGTGTCTGAGTCCTTTTCTCAGTTCTGCAGCTGTTCCATGCAGTACTGTGTCTGAGCCCTGTTCTCAGACCTGCAGCTGGTTCCATGCAATACTGTGTCTGAGTCCTTTTCTCAGTTCTGCAGCTGTTCCATGCAGTACTGTGTCTGAGCCCTGTTCTCAGTCCCGCAGCTGGTTCCTTGCAGTACTGTGTCTGAGCCCTGTTCTCAGACCTGCAGCTGGTTCCATGCAATACTGTGTCTGAGTCCTTTTCTCAGTTCTGCAGCTGTTCCATGCAGTACTGTGTCTGAGCCCTGTTCTCAGTCCCGCAGCTGGTTCCTTGCAGTACTGTGTCTGAGTCCTTTTCTCAGTTCTGCAGCTGGTTGCATGCAGTACTGTATCTGAGCTCTGGACCAGTGGAAGTTGTTCTAGGACTTGTGCAGGATAGAACTTTCAAACCCACGCTTTCACAGAGAGTGTGTTGTATTTGCTCGGGTGTCCGAAAATGAAACTATCTTTCTGTTCAGGTTATCTATATTAGTCTGCTAGACACTGACTTTTTATTTTGTCATTTATTCCTTAACATTGAACACCATCCTTCAGTTTTTGCTTCTCATCAGATAGTCTCGTTGCAGCAGAAATTAAATGTGGACTGTATAAAACCTAAGGACTTGATGGGATGTTCATTTGAAAACTGAAAATTACTGGTCTTAGTCCTTTTTGTGTTGCTATAACAGAATACCATAGACTGGGTATTTGATAAAGAGAAGAAATTTATTTTTCATAGTTCTACAGGCTGGGAAATCCAGTGCCAAGATGCTGGCCTCTGGCAAGGGTTTTCTTGCTGTGTCTTCCCATAGCAGAGGTTGAAGGGCAAAAGAATGAGAGGGTTAGGGAAAGGAGAGAGGTGTGGGGTTGAGAGAGAGGAAGGGGGTCAAGCTCATTGTTTTTCAGGAACCCACTCCCAAGATAACTAATGCACTCTAGCGATCACAGCATTAATCCATTCATGAAGGCAAAGCCATCATACCTCATCACCTCTTAAAGGCCCCTCTCATCTCTCAACATGGTTGCACTGGGGATTAAGTTTCCAACACATGAACTTTAGGGGACACATTCAAATGATAGCTTTCTGTCCTAGCCCCCAAAATTCATGCCTTTCTCACATGTGAAATACATTCATTCCATCCCAATAGTCCCCAAAGGCTTAACTCTTCCAGCACCAACTGAAAGTTCCAAATCCAGAGTCCCATCTAAGTCAGATAAAGCTGAGACTCCAAGGAAGCCTGAAGCAGACTCCTTTCTAGCTATGACCCTGTGAAATCAAAACAGACTGTCTACTCCCAAAAGACAATGGTGGGGCAGGCATAGGAGAGACATTTTCACGCCAAAAGGGAGAGATAGGCAGGAAGAAAGGGGTAACTGGTTCCAGCTCCATCTAGAACC